CACTGGCAGGTGATCCCGGGGCCTAATGGAATTGAATTACTTCAGCCACATTAATCATGGCTACGGTGGAACAGCCACTATTTCATCTCCACTCTTAGGGGTTATTAGTACAAATACATTGTCAAACTGCATTGTGGAAGTGGCATTTTAGGTGTCATCGCCTGTACATTTATTAAAATCTATATCAATATCTTTCAGCGGACACTTCTCTCACCACCCCCCTCCCTGGTTGTCTCCCATGCACATTAGGGTTTCAGACAAAGTTTCCTGGCATGAAGTGACACCGGTCTGAGAAACTTTTCCTTCATTAATTCTTTCCTGCCACTCCTGCCCGTCGTTTGACGATTGATTGGACGTGGCTGGCAAGGACAGCAGAGCAGCGCTTCAAGACAACACTCTGAAATAGAGACTTCATGCCCTGACTTGATAGAGGTGTCAAAAGCATTACTCAATTCATTATATTATTAATGGTCCGATGGTCACAAGCGCTTTTCACAATGGTAATGTTTCATAGATAACACCTGGCAACGTATAGGCCTACCTGGATAAATGATCTATTGTTGTTTTTCACTAGCAAAACAAAAATAAAAAAAAACTCTAAACCATTTTTTAGGAAATGTATTTATTATTATTTATTTACAACATGTTGTCCAGCAATCCCCTCCCACATCCCCCTTAAATATTGTCATTTTTTAGAGTTTTATTCTTTAATTCTATAAAGACTTGGAAAATAATAATCAATGTTTTCGCCCCCAAATTTACAGTGTTTTATTTTCTCTTAATACTGCATGGCATTATCAGCTCTACCACCTTAGCACACCTAAACTAAAATAGCACTTTACACACAAATGTATATCTAAAATCACTCAGCCAAGGACCAGGTGCTGGTTTGCTCTGTTTTAATTATTATTTCTAGCCTTGAAATAAAAATCAATAGGTAGATTATTTGAGTCCTCATTATACTGTTTCATGTATTTCATAGTAAAATAAAAAGCCACAATAGTAATATGTGGAATTTGAGTCCTGCTGCTCTAAAAACTCAAAGGTCAGGGAAATTAATTTTACTGCCTGTGGAGGTGAAGAAAGGAAAAAAAGGTGAAACCACATTAAAAACTCCTGCTATACAAAACATTTCAACAGCATTCGCTGTTCCATACATTTCAATATTTCCTAATGCAAGCCTCGCATGAGGATTCAAACACAGCGACAGCTGAATTAGACAAGAGACCTGCAATGAGAACTTCACCTCGCTACTGAAACCTTAACCTCCCACATTCTCCACTAACTTCCAGGTTTTGTTTTATGTGACAAACTGAAAAGCATAATTTTTCCATACTTGAAAAGTTTCAGACAGGCTATTTTGTAGATATGCATCAATTTAATAAATATACCAATAGACATCACAGTAAAAAGTCCACTCAAGATTCAACTAAAATCAATCCCGAATAAGGTTTGAATCAGGCAAAACAGTAGTTCTACAGCAGAAAAAAAATTACTGATTTTATTTTACACACATAACATGCGTGCATTCAAAGCAAATGACGAGAAACCGCCTAAAGCTCTGCTTTGATGAGGATACACCTATCAATAAAAACGTCTCGGGTTACGCATGTAACCCTAGTTCCTCGAGGGAACGAGATGCTGCGTCGAAAACGCTAGGGGAACGCCCTTCAGCGTGATGGGCTCTGAACCTCGTGTGTAATCAGACCAATAGATGGGCGAGACATCACGGCGGGTGACGTAATGACCAGAAAGCTATAAAAGCACGTGCGGTGAGACCAGTGTCAGCTTCTTGGAATGAAGCAAGCGCTGGCAGGGACGCCGGAAGTATGGCACCGAGACGCAGCGTCGGGGAACTAGGGTTACATACGTAACCCGAGACGTTCTTCTTACAGGAACTCGAGCTGCGTCAGAAACGCTAGGGGAACGCGACTGCCCACGGCGCCAGACTTCTAATTCTCTGCCTAGTGTGGAAGACTGCACAGCTAGGGCGAGAGAACAGAAGAGCCAGGAGTGGCTCGCATGTCTAGGTCATAGAACCTGACGAAGGTCAGGGGCGTGGACCATCCCGCAGCGTCGCAGATGTCCTGCATGGAGACACCTGCCAGGAAGGCCTTAGAGGTCGCCACACTTCTAGTAGAGTGAACCTTGACCCCAAGAGGCGAAGGGAGATCAGAGGACTCATAGGAAATAGAAATGGCATCCACTATCCACCGCAGTTCTGTGGATGTATGCGTCCAGTGCTCGCACTGGACACATACAGTTAATCTTCGCTGGTCTGGATCCCCTAAGGGACGAGGACTTAGGGCCTGGAGCACGACAGGCCATGGTGTAGAGGAGGGGACCTTAGGAACATACCCCGCTCGAGGGTACAGAAACGCTTTGGCCAGACCGGGCCCAAAGTCAAGATAAGAAGGGGCCACTGAAAGGGCCTGCAGATCCCCACCTCTCTTGAGAGAAGATATCGCCAGAGGAAGGTAGTTTTGATAGTAAGGAGGCGATCAGATATCTCCTCAATAGGCTCGAAGGGAGGCCTACAGAGAGCCTCTAGCACCACAGCCAGGTCCCACGTGGGGACACGAGATCGTACCAGAGGCCTCAGCCTCAGCGCACCATGGAGAAAACGTGTAACTAGGGGGTGTCTGCCCACTGACTGGCCACGTAGGCCGCAATAGCCGGCACGTAGACCTTCACGGTGGAGTGGGTCAACCCTGCAGAGAAACGGGCCTGCAAGAACTCCAGCACTGTACCAACCGGGCAGTTAACTGGGTCGAGCTGGCGGTCTCCACACCAAGAAGTGAAAAGTTTCCACTTCAAGGCGTACAGTTTCCTCGTGGAGGGAGCTCTGGATTGGAGGATGGTCTCAACAACCTCAGTTGAGAGACCGGAAGCTACGAGTTGTGCCCCCTCAGGGGCCACACCCACAACTTCCACAGCTCCGGGCAGGAGTGGATGATCATACCCTCCGCCTGTGAGAGGAGATCTCTCCTGACGGAAATGAGGTGGGGGAGAACCAAACTGGATTCTGTAGCCTCTCTCTACAGTGTGCAGGACCCACTGAGACACATTTGGCAGTAGTTTCCACGCTGCCAAAAAGTCTACTAAGGGAATCAGTCTCTCGAGACTGATCTCTGGTATAATACGAGCAGCCAGCTCGGTGCCCTGTAAGAGCGAACCGGCAGGTAACAACCGAACCCGCTGCTCTAGAGACCTCCGCGGAGGTGGCAAGCCTCTTAACCCCGCTACATTGCCGGGCGGTGACTGAGAGTGGAGCTCGCGGGAGACCGCTGCTCCCTGTAACTCCGGCAGGGTTAGCAGCCGATCTCCTGAGGGCACTGAGGCAAGACAGACACCGTGTAATGCGGGGTAACCCGCTGCACCCCAGAGGGGACTGCCCTCATAAGTCCTTGGCCAGTGGCGTCAGGACCTTCTTCGGAACTATGAAGTACCGGCTGTAGAACCCGGACTGCCTCGCATGAGGAGGGACCACCTCGATGGCCTCCTTCCTCAAAAGAGTGACTACTTCTTGTTCCATGACCAAAGCCTGCTCGGGGCCCACCAGCGTGGGCATAATCCCGTTGAAACGAGGCGGAGGAGAACCAAACTGGATTCTGTAGCCCCTCTCTACAGTGTGCAGGACCCACTGAGACACATTTGGCAGTAGTTTCCACGAACCTGCTGCTCTAGAGACCTCCGCGGAGGTGAAGAGCCTCTTAGCACCGCTACGTTGCCGGGCGGTAACTGAGAGTGGCTCTCGCGGGAGACCGCGGCGCCCTGTAACTCTGGCAGGGTTAGCAGACCGATCTCCTGAGGAGTCCTGGGCCAGTGGCATCAGGACTTTTTGGCCAAGGACCTCTTAGTCTTAAGTACGGTCCGCAGATCCGGCTTAGACTTCGAGGCCCCCGACCTAGAGCGTCGCCTCAGAGGAAGAGAGGTAAACACGTGCTCTCACTCTCGAAAATTTATTTATTTATTTATTAAATACGGTCTGGTGAGTAAGATTCACATCGAAATCGAATTATGATATATACGCGCTGCCTCGGCAGCATCAGCAAGCTCTCACTCAGAGGGGGAAGAACCGTAGCGCGGGCTTCCGAAACCTCGAGAGCGGGCGCTGGATCTGGTGGTTAAGGAAGCAGATAGGGACGTGCCCGTCTACATTCCCTCCACCGGATCCGAAACCCACGAGCACAGCCGTCGCTCCACCTCGGCGAAAGCGGGGCCGGCACCGCGAGGAACGCTAGTGAAGGCTATCTTCTCAAAGACAGCCCTCTGAGAGCGAAGCAAGGCAGTAACAACCGCTACCAAAACAGCCGTCAGCTCCTTTTTTTTTTCGAGAGCTGACTCTGCGTGCATGCTCTCAAGCAGACAACAAACAAACTGTGTGTATCCCCACCCGTAAAGTAACGCGGGCAGGGAAGAACACACAGCTTGAATGCTGCCTGCCCTCGCCTTAGTGTCTGGTTTTGTCTTGAGATTCGTTTTGACATACAACACTAAATAAGACTCACAAACAGATATCAGACTGACACACACACAGAGAGCGCTTGCTGAATGACAAAAAACTGACGCTGGTTTCACCGCACGTGCTTTTATAGCTTCCTGGTCATTACGTCACCCGCCGTGACGTCTCGCCCATCTATTGGTCTGATTCCACATGAGGTTCAGAGCCCGTCACGCTGAAGAGCATTCTCCTAGCGTTTCCGAAGCAGCTCGAGTTCCTGAAGAGGAACATAATGGATCTGGATCAGAGAGCTTGTTAGCTCGCTCACAACCAGACTAGAACCCTATAGCACTGACAAAAGAAAGTAGGCGCTTTTAACAAAGGCATATGAACAGTGAGGTCTTGAGCTCTGGGCTATATAGATTACTATAAGATTACTAGAGCCTATGCTTGCGCATGTGTGATGTTATGTGAGGGGGGTGTTGAGTTGATGAGGTTCAGGTAGCCAGAGAGGCAGTTGGGCTGCAACAGAGGATTCTGGGTGTGAGAATGCGAGCGGTGGAACCCTCTGGATCCCTGCCACTCATCTGGCCACCTTCCTAAGCAGGGCAGAAAATCAAACAAGTAGGAAAGAATTAAATAAAAGCAAGAAGAAAAATGATTTCTTATAAATAGCAGGCTTCGCCAGAAGGCATAGGAAATGAGAGCAGCGAGGCGCAGGAGAGGAGCTTGAGCTTGACACGGGTCTTAAAATTGAGAGGGGGCGGAATCAGGGACCTATTGCGCAAAATGGCTCCAACCAAAGTAAGGATTAGTGTTCCTGCCGCCACAGCCAAGATTCTCCAGAACAACTAATCACCTTCAAGTTCTCTCGTTTTTTTTCCCTTTTCCTCCTCACTGTCTCTCGCTCTCCTTCACACTCCCTTTCTCTCTCTCTATCCTCTTTAAAGTATCATTTCACCCCTCACAGCCATTATGGCTAAAATTAAGCAGAGAGTGTTCTGCCAGCACCGATTAGACACATCCCTGGATCCGCGCTGAGGAGAAGGTGTCATGTCAGTTACAGCTCTGAGAAGAAACGTGCTTCACCGCGACAGTCTACACGGGCAGGCTGAGAAAGTGACGTACATCTGTGCCACCCAGCGAAAAGACTTGTGGTGAGAATAGTTTTGATTCGGGTTCAGAGGGCTAAAATATCAGCCGGCAATTAGAAACGAGACAGAACAGCTTACAAAATGTTGTGGAACATTTTGTGTGAAACCGTTAATAGACTCCAGCGTGTTTTGAGTGAACAAGTGTTATACAACTCAAAATAAAGACAGATAATATACTTTCAAGTGAGCATAATTATCCTGCAAGAATAAAAATGTACATGGGTTTACAGTCGTATGAATATTCTAGTAGCTACAATTCACTTGAATTCATTTACTACAAAACAGTTTGCATATCAGTCAGAAGCATGCAGTGATCAATTAGCTTAATACAAAGAAACAAACAAGCGCTTCTTTGTTGTTGCTTAAAAATACAAAATGCAAACATCAGCAAATCTCACATTCACACTTTAACCCAGTTACAACAAAAAGCCAAAGAAGAAACTGAAGTTTCACAGTTAGTTATTGCAAGGATGTGCATAAGAACACATGTTTAGGCTACTTTATTTATAAGCAGAATGAGTGTTTGTACATCTGTTTAATGTGACATTCTGTGAGAGATCTGCATCTCACAAGCACGGCTTCGCTCGCAAAAGGCAGCGATGATATTGATAAAAGAGACGTTTTATAATCACAATGATCTGGAGAACTGCACTGCCACAGAAGGTTTAAATGAGTCTTAGATAGGTCACCTTCAACTTTAAGAGTTTTGTCTGACCTTTAATTCTTTAATGTCGAGCTGCTGGTTTCAAGAAGAAGAAAAAAGTAGAGGAAGAAGGATGGCTGTATGATTTCTCCTATTCAGAGACAGATGAAATGGGCCCTGCATACTTGCAAATGACTGGGAAATATGCAAGTAATTTACCGTTAAATTCCATAACAGGAAAACCTAATTGTACAGCATGTCCAGCCTAATTGAATTGTTCTACAAGTGCATTACTGTTATGGAAATAATACTGACAGGAGTGATAAGAGATTGAATGAGAGACACTGAATGAAGAATAAAACTGCTAGGCTAAAAAAAAAATCATACACAAAGTAATTCGGATCAAAAGTCTAAAATGAACAAATTATTATAAATTAACAACAGAAATAATCAAATCTTGATTATGCTTATGTATGCATTAAAAATAAACAACAACAATTTTAAAAAATAGTAATAAATGCTTCCAAATTAGAAGCATTGTAAATTACAACACTACTCATCCAATCTGATGTTTCGACTTACAAATGTTATTATAAACTACATATTTAAAAAAAAAATACTACATTTGCAATTTAAATAAAACACTAAATAACAAGTTCATTTGTCAAAAAAAAAGAACAGCTTCATGCACCCACAAAAAAAATGCCCTTTTGCTTGCTCTCTGCTGGACAGAGACTGAAGTGCAGGTGACCCTTCTACAGTTTTCCTGCAGTATCAACTAACAAAAGCATCAGCCTGCGTCAAACCAGGCTGTCAGTTTCAAAAAGAAAGGTGTGTATGCATGTGAGATGCCGGATGCGCAGAGCAAACACATATAAAGAAAATTTGCATCCACGCTTGTGTGCACCAAACACATTCAGCCAGTAAATACATGCTGCCAAGCCTTTCTTACAAAAAAAAATTACACACAGATACATACATATTTACATGTATGCAATTATGCACGTATAATGCAAAGGTACTTATGTGCTTTATTGTATCAATATACTTCTAAGTTGGAAGCAAGAAACAAAACAATCTTGAAATATTTCTGCTGTGAATATTAGCCTTCGTTTGATTGATGCAAAGCACACATGCAGTTATATTGAAAAGCTCACGAGTGATAACGTCGAATTGGGAATGTAATATCACCAGCATTTCCAAGAACTGCCAAATCTACATTTATGTTACACTGACAAAAAAAAAAAAAAATCTCATTAAATCACATCACTCTTAAGCACAGGAACTGCCTAAATATAATGAACCTTGTGATCTCAAGCCACCGAATCTCTTTGACAGCAGGTTATTTCAGCAATGATAGGTTAATGTAATTTCTCTTTTGTTTTCATTCAGTCATCACGGAGGAGATGTCCTTCCATGATGACATGCAGATGGTGAGCAACTTCATTTCAGCCCTGGATTATCTCACGCATGTGACAACATCTTCCTTTGTTGCCAAGAGTGTCGAACTGCTTTGAACTGCCGAATGACAGAATAGGGAAGCCATTCCAAATGCAAATGTAAATTATTGTTACTTACACGTTTAACCCTCTAGACACTGTTCTGTCCTAGTATGCAGAGGAATTCTGAAATCGTGTTGCCCTCTTTTGGCAGGCATGTGTGACTGCAGATTCTTTCCTGACAATTACAACTGCTTGAAAATGGGCAGATATTTAAAAAAAGGATAAAGGTGTGATATCATGATACGATGTTGAAAAATGAAGAATATGAATGTGAGATATTTGAAAAATCAAACAGATATGACAATGTTACAAATATAAAGGTTATGACCTTGCGGTTGCCTTACGCAGTATTGTACAAAAACGAATGACTGGATTTCACAGATGAATTCAACTGCAATGACCAGTAGAAAACCTGTAACAGAAACCCTGTAAAAGAAAACTTGAAAAAGAAAACCTGTAAAGGAAACATCATTTAAAAATGAATAAACAGTGACCTGTACTCGCCTCACTAGGCCAAACTACGCTGTAAAGGACTATTAATGAATATTTCCTTTTCATACCAACTCTATTCCAAACACATTTCTTCCTGTGCTTTCATTGCTACGGTCTCATTTCATACTCACTTTCTCCGCCTTCCCCTCCCTCACTCATCCTCAGACCTGTGGGTCACTCCAGCAGGAACAGGAAGTATCCTTCCTCCTTTCCAGAGCTCACCCCTTCGTCAGTTTCCCCAGCGTTCTCCCAGCATTCCAGTCTTTGATTTCCCACTCGTCTGCAAAGATAAGAAACAAACCCCAGCAATGGGAACTTTCAGTGAATATCCTTTTCAGCCTTCACACCTACTATCTGTTTTGCTTTCTCTTTTTTTTCCTCCCTCGTTCATCTCTGAGCTCGGGGAAAGTGAAGAGGTGGGTAGTTTATTCAGTAATATTCAGAACGGTTGATCTAAATAAAGATGCTCTTCAAATTCCAGTGTATGTCTAATGGTCTATCACAGAGGGAGGATTACTGATCTGATTTAAAAGGCTAAACAATGCTGAGTGGAAAGGAGGAGCGGAAAAATGACTTTTGTGGTGACAGATGCACTATCGAGAATTTCAGTGGCTCATATTTCAAGCTGGTGAAATAGAGTCATTTAAACGGCCTGTACTGCCCAATATATAGTGTTAAATAAACTATAAAAGCTTGGCGATAAGCAACCTGCCCCACACTCTCTCCTTGCAGCTGAATCGATACGGCCTGTGCAGCATATCATTCATCTCATAAGTATAATGAATACTTGTGTTATTAATCTCATCTTTATACAGGGGTAATATGATAGTTAATTCAGCTCAGTTGAAATTAATGGAAATAAGTTAATCACAAATGCATCGCTTAGGAAAAATCCATTTGGGTGAGATATTCTAATAAAAATACGTATAGGCAACGAGCACTAATTCCATCATGCATAGAAACCAATATTTCACACCATTCATCTGACTAACGCACAAATGGAATATTTCACACTCTTTTCTTCAGTGAAAACAATATAGATTTTGATTTGCTTGCAAACAATTTTAATAAAAAGCTATTGATGGGATATTGATTGGTTAGCTCACAGCACAGCTCGTGGGCCCAGTGTGCAACAATCATTATGCGCCATGCTTTTGGGTTCATTTCAACTCATATGGTCAATAAAGACTCCATAGGCTCTTGGCCCTTTGAACACGTTGGGATGCTTTTTCCACAGCGTCCTTTAAATCAAACTCTATTGTCAGGATGAGCCAAAAGAAATACTCAAATGTAGCACTGCTCCAACATCCGACTGACCATGAATCAAGATATGCTGAAACAAAAACATGTCGGACAAATTGATACTTTATATCAATGTAATATAATAGAGAAAATAAGAGTCATTATGTGTTGGCGGTGCACTATGATTTCCACCATCACTGAAACTTCAGTAGTACATAAGTAAATCAAATTTAAAATTGGCCAGTGTTTTAAGTCTTTTCAGCTTTAATTTTCCAGGAATCACAATTATACTGTAGTTTCAAAATTTGTGGCATCCCTCAAGGCTCCCTGAGTGGTTCCTTGACTTCTCTCCAGTCTGTACCTTCCTTTAAGAATGTGATCACTACACTCAAATATCTTATTTATAACCATGTCACTTTGTAAAATCTTTATTCGTGTGAACATATCTTTTAAATGTGAGAGCCACTGGAGTAACGGCAATAAAACGCTGGAGAGGGATCAATGCTGAACGCATTACGCCTCGGCACAGAGACTTGGCTTTAATAATCAAAAAATTGATCCATTAAGCTAAACCTAATTCTTTGCCAAAATGGGAGAGGTGCTCAGTTTTTAACACATGGTTATGTGAAGAATTGCAATTTTTCACAGAGACTCAGGTCTAATGACACAATATTGAAGATGAAATGGGCTCATTACATCATAAAGACAGACAGACAGATAGGCAGATTACATCATACAGACAGACAGACAGATAGATGGATAGATGTATAGAGCAAAGACTGTTGTAACTTTTTTTTTTTTCTTGAAGTGACCTAACATTTACCAAGCCCTTCTCACATGACTGCGATCGTTCTCCACACACACTTCAAAGGTTACCGGATGCGCCTAATTCAAAGCTGTAAATGAGAGTTCTACTTTTGAGTCTTTAGGATTTACCAAAAAAGATGAAACCTTATACATGCTACTCTGATGAGCTGGAGCATGTGTGTCTATTTAACTGTGAACGAGCAAATAGCAAACTTTAAGAGAGCAAATGATAGGGGGAAGTGAATGAAAAGGAGCACAAAGGAGGTAAACAACCAAAATCCTCTGAAACAAGACCAATGGCAGAGTCGTTTGGACCTCGGTGAATGCGCAGGTCGAGCATCACAGCGCAGAGACACTTCCTCTGTGCCGTGTCCCTGGGCTGCCGCTGCAACTCAACACCAGCGATATCGATCGGACTCCTAAGCCTCCACCAACCTGGTCAAACCTGAGTCCTTTCTGATATTTACCCACTAAAGTATTCCCTTCTGCTAGCGCTGCCAACCTACAAGACATGGAGGGAGAAAAAAAGTCAATTATATACAACGTGCTTGGTTTCCCCTCAAGGATGGAATCCACCCTTTCTAATCCGATCAATTCATGTCAGACAGGAGGCTGGATTCAGTGCTATCTCTGAAGTCCTGTAATCCAGGCTAAGTCTTCACACTGCCTGCCTCACCTCCACAAGAAAAGGGTTTGGTCCAGAGCATGATACAGCAAATTAGCCATAGTGTACATTCAGACACGCTGTAGTGGATGGGTGCCAGTGTGCTAACAGCTAAGCATAATTGGATAAGCAATTCAGCTAATTCCGACTATAGTCAATGCTACAGTTGGCACATATAATAAAGGGGGACTTGGGGCTAGTTGTCACACTTTTGTATTTTTATTTTATTGTTGAAAGCATTTTTGAAAGTTTATGTCTATACTAGCAGGTGTGTTGAAATACATAAAACAATAAAAAGATGCCATTTCACAATAAAATAAACAGTAACAGGAAAAAATATATATTATTATGAAGTAATTTTTTAAAGATTTTTGAAAGATTTTCAATTTCTATTATACGGAAATAAAACAATAAAAAATATTCAATTTCATGATAACATAAACAGTAACAAAAAAATATCAAACCATTGTTTTAGCCACAAATACAGCACAAATTTAGGCATAAATTCAAAAACATGACAATTTGCCTCAACCTGACCTGATCTTTCAATTAAAATCGACCTTCATTATATATACTTGACTCTTAAATGTTTTATTACATTTACTTGTTTAAACATTAACGAAGGCAAAGATATGATGCTGTAATTTTAGTTTGGTGAACATAATTTCCAAAAAATATTTGAATTTAAGAGGGTTTTAAACTAGATATCTGGTCTCCCTTATTGTAGATATTCACTAAGGTACAATCAGATTTTTTAAAATACTTTTTTTACTTTTAGTCACTGGTGAATTATATACAAGCAATATATAACTTTGAAGTATTTGGCTGGTGGTGAGACATGGGAAGGTGTCCCATTACAGACATGCAATGGCTAATAGCCAGTGCGCACAGTAAATGATCAGGAACGAGGAGAGAGTGCTGGGACACTTTAATTTCCACTGACATATTGTGCTTCATGTACAGTCTGAATGGCTCCATAAAGAAAGTGTAATGATGGTCCAGGACCATGGCCAAATAGCTGACATGCACGTTTTCCCTGGTCAGCTCAGCACCAGGTTTGATCCGTCTCATTACACCAGTCATTCAAATAATGGACAGCTATGGGAGCTCTGGTAAAGCTACAACTAATACACATGCCAAAGTCTACATCATAGTGGTTCATTCTCGCTGTCTGCTTAGTATGCACAGGTGTTCAGGGCTGAGAACGTAAACATATAACTCTAGATTTTTTATTTATAACATACAATAATAAAATTATATAAACAGATATAAAAAACTATATAAATAGCAAAAATATATATATTTATTTGAAGAGAGAGAGAGAGAGAGAGAGAGAGAGAGAGAGAGAGAGGCGCGATAAATCGGCCACCCCTGCTCTTGTCTCGCTTCAAAAGAATCTGTTAAGAGAGAAAGGGAGAGGGAAAAAAGCAGGGAGCAAGACCCACACGATGTAGTTCCAGCCAATTGCATTCCAGAGAAGTGACCATGGCTGGAGATAAGCAATGCACTATAGATCATGCTCCTCAAAAGGTATAAAAGAAAGGCAGATGCCGCAGGAATAAGGCAATAGCAGGAGAAAATAAATAATCTCCGTTTCTTCAGCAATTCTGGAAAGCATAATTGTATAAATCCTTTATTCAGGATTGCCATTAACCCTGTGCAGTGTACGGCTGTAACAATCTGCATGTGAAGGGAAATAGGAACCCCTCTCTCTCTCTCTCTCCCTATGTGAGGTTGCCAGGCTCACCCTCTCCAAACCACAGTCAGAGCCAAAATCGCTTTAAATTGTTCCTCACTGTCACAAAAAAAAAAAAGCATTTAACACTCACCCATTGTGCAGGGACTGATCTCTCAACCACTCTAGCACCCCGTCAACATAAGCACAGATATCCTTCCACAGATATGTAAACAGCCCACTAAGATTTCTTTGTTTGGATTTTGAAGCTGGGTAGATTTGCCTTTGCTGCGCTTGCTTTTACAGCTTAGAAGCAGGTGGATGACAAAACATCAATCTCTCCAGGCACAATGTGTAGCACGCACGCTTGACACTCTACACAAGCAATATACAATCACACACTCCAATACAGGGCTCTCAGCTGTAATGATGTGTGTTTGCTTAAAGGCAGCTTTATGAATATAGTAGCTTTATGAAACAGCTCTGAATATTTGAGCATTTTTGGAATAAAAAAGAAAAACGCTGCATATTAGAGCCTGTGATGTTTAATGAAGAGGGAATTAGACATCAAAACATTCATCCATGGACATCTGCATCCATAGCATCAGAGCAGAAAATGACAAGGACAGGGTAAAGTTATTATCCACGTTTTATATGTTCACTCTAGTATTAATGCAAGGCAGATGCTGTCTATTGGGGGAAAATAAATGTTTAAGTGGAGTGTTGCCACAAAGGAAACCTGTCAGAGAACAACTGATATATGCTGATATTTGGAATATTGTGGCTATGTGTCACACCATTTAGCCCAGTTTCTGTATGAACACATAGACACCTCACACTTGGCTACAAATAATAATAATAATAATAATAATCATCATCATCATCATCATCTTTAAGATTTCCACCGTTTTGCCCAGTTAAAACAAATATTTAAACGTTCATTTAACATCACACTGAAACATGCCTTAAACAAGATCTCAACTAGATGGCCCATTAAGGAGCCTCAGCAAACTTCCAAGGGGACGACATGAATTACTTTTTATTACGTTTTATTGTTAAAATAATCTAAGTCTAATCTAAAAAGCTAAAAAAACAAAACAAAAAAAAACAAAGGTAAAAATGTAAACCTACATCGACCGATTTCCACAAATAATTTACAGTAATGTATGATTATTTGCCTTTACCTGTAAATGTCAGTCCTGAAAACACTGTTCAAGCTCTTCATAGTTGACTATATCTATGCAAGTTTGGGTTTATTGCGTTCACTTGTTCACCCAACAGACACAACAAAAATATGGCGATACTGGAATTAGTTTGGAGGACAGAAGTCATAAAACTGCTGCAAAATGCTCCTAAAATAACGTTGCGTCACACGGGACCTAGGGCCTACCTGTCGCACTGTGTAGTTTGCTTGTTTTGATTTGAATTAAAGCGAATTAAATCATCCATCAAATGATTAACTAATACTAAACTTCACATATTGCGCAATAGCACCTTTATTTTACGAGATGTTGAGATTCTGTACGTCTACACTGCCGATATATTGCAGTGATAGATTTGGTTAACATTATTCAAATATTAACAGTTAAACAGGCCTTATGTGGTTAAATCCTGTTGCACATTAGTTCAAATAAAGTTCGGCCATTCAAACTTTAATGACGTCGGCGACGCTCGAGTCTTTTCGCGGGAAGTTACTTTCGCTTTGCCTGGATCACAACAGCGGAAGAGGCTTCTGACTGCAGCGACTGTAGAGCTTTAGGCTGTGTTTATATGGCTTAGTTTATTGTCGAGACATCTAAATAGGTGTTTAGCTAGAGGTTTATATTCAGCCCGTGCTTTGACATACTTATGTTTCATCATGAGCTGTTTGCTGATGAGAGAAAGCCCTATGATCATTGCGCTTAATAAGGAGAAGACAGTCTATGACGGGTTCATCACAGTACTGGTAAGAAAAGCTTCACATCTCAGGTCACAGTCATGCTAAAGAAGACAGCGTATGTTGTCAGCTGCGTTTACAGTGTGGATATGTAATGTCGTGTGAATCGTATACCAGTGAAGCGATTGTCACAAGTCTCATTATTTAATCTTTGACAGGAAAAAGACTTCAGGATAAGAATATCTCTACCTCCTGATCATCAGATGAAACAGGCTAAGTATGACTGAAATAGTATTTCTTTAATAGTAGTTTTTTTCCCTTTTATGTGATGTCCATCGAATATTATTTCTGTGTATATTGTCTTTGCCTTTTTTATTGAGGTAACAAAGAACATAAACAACATGTATCAATCAACGTGAAGAACATTACACCATATACAATTTATGATCATATGTAAAATGTCATAAATAAGTAAATAATAAAACTCAGTTACACTAATAACAAAATATTCCATATTGTAAAATATTGCAAAAATACTGTAAAATCAGTTTTATATGTGTTCTTTTTGATAAAGCTACCAAATTGCTTTTAAATTAGTGAAAAGCTTTTTCATTCCATTTAAGTTTGTGTATATAATATTGAGCCAGTATATTTAAGTCACGTTATAAAGCGTTGATTTTTATTATTGTCATTTTAACTGTTTCATTTGACTTGTTTTATATATATATATATAATTCCAACAGATATCATTATTATTATTATTTTATTTTCTTGTGCTTGTCTTTGATTGTTTTGCAGATTGCATTGTTGCTGGCAAATGAAACGGCTACTTCATGGTTATCAACATATTGTGAAGCAGGTACAATAGGAAAAGGAAATAGTTCGCAGCTACAGGTGCATCTCAATAAATTAGAATGTCGTGGAAATGTTCATTTATTTCAGTAATTCAACTCAAATTGTGATTTTGCTTGACAATCCTCATAAGGCAGTTAAGTCTAAGTCTCTCGTTCTCTCGGTTAGTTGTGCATCTTTTTCTTCCACACTCTTTCCTTCCACTCAACTTTCTGTTAACATGCTTGGATACAGCACTCTGTGAACAGCCAGCTTCTTTGGCAATGAATGTTTGTGACTTACCCTCCTTGTGAAGGGTGTCAATGATTGTCTTCTGGACAACTGTCAGATCAGCAGTCTTCCCCATGATTGTGTAGCCTAGTGAACCAAACTGAGAGACCATTTTGAAGGCTCAGGAAACCTTTGCAGGTGTTTTGAGTTGATTAGCTGATTGGCATGTCACCATATTCTAATTTGTTGAGATAGTGAATTGGTGGGTTTTTGTTAAATGTGAGCCAAAATCATAACAATTAAAATAACCAAAGACTTAAACTACTACAGTCTGTGTGCATTGAATTTATTTAATACACGAGTTTCACAATTTGAGTTGAATTACTGAAATAAATGAACTTTTCCACGACATTCTAATTTATTGAGATGCTCCTGTATTTCTCATCATTCTAGAAATTAGTCTTAATTAACACACAATGTTTGGCTTGGGGGAAAAAGCTTTTCCCCTATGCCTCTAGGGTAAAAAGACTTTTGATTCGCCCTGCCTAGATTTATGCGGTACCCTAACTAGTTAAAGTTCTTTATTTTCTTATGAATTTAAAATGATTAATAATTAACTCTAATGGTCACTCTCATTAGTTAAATGACAGGTGCTGGTTTTGACATTCTGTATGTTCTACTTTAATCACAGTATTTGTATTTATTTTCTTTGAACAGAGGTTACAGCATTCAGCTAATTTGATGGCTTTTATCCTGGAACTCAGGACAGTATTGGTAAATATTCTTAAAATATTGCATGATTTATCCCCGGGGTTGGACATTACCATATTCATGTTGACAAATGTTATACATGATGTAATGTTCAGCATCATATTACCATAATAAGCACATGAGTCCCGCAGATAGAATAAATGATTCTCATTACGAACTTGTCTATTATCAGGAAGTGGCATTGAAGAGCCAACCAGGATGTCAGTCTTTCTCACCACCTCAGTATTATTCCCAGCTGATAACAGAAATGGAGATCTTAGGATGGGATAAGTATGCTGTTTCTATTGGCCTAGTGCTTCTCACATTGCGTTGTGTTCTCTTATAATTACATACAGTACAAATCCTTTGCATTACTGTAAACGTGTAAGACATTAATAGCACGTACTTCTGTCATCAACTAAAGTTACTATAGTTTAATGAAAACAGTGTGTCAGATTTCTTGCTTTGTAATAGAAGAGGCTAATGTGGTGTCTGTCTGCCATGTATCAAGCTGTGATTTCACTAGGCTTCTCATTTTCCACTTTCTATTAATGTCCAAAGATATAATTATGATATTAGCAAATGCAAATTGGTCTAATTGGAGACCCACTCTCAAGATTAATGGGGAAATGTAGGCTGAAAAGTTAGGCTGGAAATAAGGTGCACGTTTCAGACCTGAATTGCGGTCAGAAGTATTATACACCAGCGCTATCTGTAAATGCACTTGAGATTAATTAAGATCCTTAATTCGTGTCTCTGTTAATAGCCTCAAGTCCGGCAGAGTAGAGGACCCTGATTGGTTTAGGAAGGGGGAAGTGCCGCAGAGCCTGGTCATTTTAATGAGTTTTAGTTGCCTTGAAGAAGCCACATTTACTGTTAATTACTGTATAGATGGGGTCAGGTCTGTTCTCCCCTCTTATCCCCAGAATAGTTCAAAAGAGTCAGATATTTAGAAAATTACAAAACATCAGTCTCTGGCTGCTTTATAGTGCAGTCTAAGTATGCTATTTGGAATATCACAGCAAAGCGTTAGGTCATAAGTAAATGAAACTTGAATATTTTGACTTTGCTCCCATTTCACTGTGAGATATTGCGTTTGTCATCTGAAACGGTTCAGATTTTTTTAGACAATTGGTGCATGGGAGCCATGGCGAGAGGTTGTCACACCTTGCACATGTATGAGAGAGAAGCACGGGGCCTCTCGCTGTGGTCTTTTAACACCCCGCCAAGATAATGACACCTGAGCAGGTTTCCTATTGGCTGGTCTTCTCACCATCTCACTCTAGCCAGCAGTTATATCTTAAAACCCATGATCCCTGGTGGCACCTGTGAGAATGGAATAACTGTACTATTTTCAGCAGCTGGCTTTTTGCATATCTGGAAAGTTGTGATGAAAAGTCTTTGCAAAAGTGGCCTTGACGATATTAGAGTTTGTGTTTTCCTCATCTTACTCTTCCGATTTTTTTGTATTTTTTGTACAGCTTTATGCTTTCATCTATGGCCTGTTTGTATGCAAACATGCCAAATGTTCCTTCGCCATTTATGAAGGGAGCTGATTTTCTAGTTGCAAATGTAATGCTCTCATCAATCCTCCCAGCAAGACATCGAGCCGTCAAGCTGTTTCAATCAACTGAGGTGAACGCCAGCAAGGCCTGATACTGTGGCGGGAGATCCCTGTAGAATGCAGAGTGGCTGAATGGGGTTCCAGCTCAGAAAGGAGATCTCAATTTTGAGGAAATGAATGATTGGTGTGATTTTGTGCCAAAAGCTCATGTAATTGAATGCGATGCAAAAGATTTTTCCCATTGCTTCATGGGTTGTGAGAGAAAAACACAGGGCATTAAGGACATTTTGAACATTGGAACAGAGAAAAAAAGATAGTTTGTTGGTGGATCTGTCAAAATGTTTGCATTACAAATTACAAACAGTGTTCACAAATGTTACCACCAATGTCAACATTAATGGTTTTAAAATAAGCTAACAAAGCACTTTTTAAAATGTAATAATATACATTCATAAAAATCTATAAAATAGCAGCTGTACATTATACATTTGCATTTACTAAGCTTACATACAGGCTTTATGTCGGTCTTAAAGTCTTTAAAGGTCTTAATTCAGAGCAGACAGTTGTTACATTAAATGTTGCATGAATATCTTCCTCAGTATTTTTGTCTTGCTTTCTAGAATAAATATCCCATTGTCCTTAAATCAATATACATTTGCTTGAGATGCAGAATGAAGTCTTGTTTTCTGGGAAATTGAACAAAATTAAGTGAGTTTATGCTTAAAACATGAACAAATATCAGTTAGTGGGGTATGAGAACTTGTTTTCCTTTTGAATTAAATAAATTTTTCTGAGTGCATTGGCAGATATCTTACAACATTGTTCTTGTTTTAATCAAACTCTCTTCATTTTGATCAATTTCACAGAAAACAAAACTTCTTACGTTATTGTACTTCTCAAGTAAGTGTCTCTTGATTTAAGAATATTTAGACATTTGCAATGGAAAACAAGACAAATACGGAGGAAGAACATTACTTTTCTTCAGTGTGATCACTTATGTTAAGTCATTCTATATTTTATTGGTTGGGAGTGGTGGTAGTAAGTTTTTCTTTTTTTAATTAAAATAAAATTTGAGCCAAAAAAGTGTAGAAGTTCTTCTCCCAGAGTTTAGGGACAGAATGTGGATATGTGATCCTACAGTTTTAGCCGATGGGAACACTCAGAGCAAAGTGTGCATGAATGGACTAACCGCGATATGCTGTTATACATCTCGTAAATATGCTGCTGAAATGCAAGTGTCATGTGAAGTGCTGGAATTTTAGCAATAAATCAGCTGTGGTCGCTGTAGTCGATTCAAGACTTTCCGCACTGTTGACCAGGAGAAAGAATTGTGTAGGTCTGAGGAGCATCTTTAAATGAAGAAATCAACCAAAACCATGTGTGGTGCTATTGATCTGTTTTGGCAGGCTGCTCTTCATCGATGCAGAGTTCCGCACACTCAAGCTGAAGGCAGAGGACTCTGCAGGTCGTCAACACGCCATTGCAGTCAAGCTCAAGTCCAAGGTGAAGCCAAGGGTCAAGCCCTATTTCATTTCTTATTTTCTCTCAGTTTTTATTTTATGGTCAGTTTAGCATGGTCCTTATTTAAGAGTTTTGTGATTTGCATTCAGTAAAAACTAGGTTTGTCAATTTAACACAATAATTTAGTATGATTATTTATGTAAGAAAAATAAATAAGATTTATTTATCTCTTATGCTTACCAAAGCTGCATTAAAAACAGAAATAGTGTGAAACATTTTTACAATTTAAGATAATCGTTTTAGTGTAATACAATTTAAATTATAATTTAAATGTAAATGTTTGAATGGTGTGTGTGTGTGTGTGTGTGTGTATACAGTATAAATATATATATATATATATATATATATATATATATAGTAATTTATTTATAAACTGTCAAAATTGAGCCACATTTTTCTAAATGTGAAAACCTCTCCTTTTTTATTAAATAAGTTTCATATCAGGGTTCACAAAAAAAGAAATTTAAAATATTTAGTTTAGAAAATGCACATTTCTGATTTGTGTGGGTCACAGATGGCTGGACTAGTTCACACAGCTTTCTGTATCAGGATCCTCAGACTCAGCTGGACTGCAGAAGGAGCAGAACTTTGGTTTAGTATCTAACTTTAAGCAGGTGGCACTAATGTACTGTGACTGTAAGATTATGTTGAGAGATGGAGCTGTGAGATTGTGACAGGGCCTGAATGAGAGGTGAGAGAGTGTGCAGGGATGCGGTGGCAAAGATAAGACCACGAGTGATCCTCATAAGGTGATTACAGGGGCCACAGAAGAAGCAGAAAATTGTGGCGTGTGAGTGGTTTAGTCTGAAAGTCGGGCTGTGTGTGAATGAGCTCTGCTTGGCATTGCAAGTGGTGGCATGGTATAGATGCCAGTGGCTCCTTGTGGACACTGCACGGGGTCCTGATGAGATTCAGCAGGGCGTGAGAAGCCCCCTGTGCCCACCTGCCCACCGTCCTGCTGGGTGCTAAAAATAGCCGTGATCTACCCACCTCACATCTGCTCATCTTCCCAGAGCCGGGCACCTTTCACAAGGCCCTCCGTCACCCAAATGTGGGTTGTGGGGTCATACACATAGTTGTATTATTGGTTGAAGCGTGGAAACATGTAAGAGAATTTCAAGCTTAAAGAGGCTAAATAAGAAAGGTCTTCAGGTGTGGTAAGTTGTCCTAGTAATTTAGTGTATTATTAATATTTTTAACAGTACTTGTATTCATCTATTATTTAATTTTATATATAAATATTATATAATGTTATATAATATGCACTACTGTTTAGTATTCATATTATATACCATTGTCATTATTCCAAGTCTCTTATGCTCCTTAAGCCTTACCAAAATGAAAAACAATAGTACCGCAATCACTGTTTTTCAATTTGAATATATTTTAAAATGTAATTTATTCCTGTGATGGCAAAGTTGAATTTCAGACACTAAAGACTGGCCATTACTCCAGTCTTTAGTGTCACATGATCCTTCAGAAAAAATTCTACTGATTTGGTGCTCAGGAAACATTTCTTATTATCAATGTTAAAATCAGTTGTGCTGCTCAGTACTATTGTATTGAGTATTTTGATGAAAGATCAAAAGAAACAGCATTAATTTGAAATAGAGATCGTATGTAATATTGAAATTTACTGTCACTTTTAAAAAAAATATAATAATAATTTGACCCCAAACTTTTGAGTGTATAAACTTTTTTTTTAATACTTTTTATACAATTACTAGCAGGAGCCATCATTTCAGTCAAATTGCCATTTTTGCCAAGTAGATTAAAAGTAAAAAAATCTAGTTATAAATAATCTAAGCATGTTTTTTTTACAATGTTTTTCACTAAATAAGCACAAGGAAGGATGATATTTAATAATTATATACATAACAAAATGCAGTAATAAGCATTAATGCATGCCTACATCTTACCTTTTACACTTTAATATTTGAAAAACACCATTCTAGACTTCCATTAACATTTTTAGTGATAAAAGCATGATGCATCTGCTAAATTACTTGCTTACCATATATACTGTTTTAAACTGATTATATATCTCTGTCTTTTTTTCTATCTTTTTAGTATCCAACTGAGGCCCCAGAGTTTTCTGCAGATCTCCCTGTTCCATTGGTCATCATGTGGACCTCTCAGGTAGTCATAAATTACTTAAAACTTTTTGAACAGAACAAATTGTTATTGAAAAGTTGATTTGGCTTTTTATCATATTACCAAAATTGTCCCTTTTTTTTTTTTTTTTAGAAAAACAATTAAAGTGCAGTGTTTTTAATTAACAAAGTGTTTTTTTGGCATTTGAAGGTGTGTTTTTCTTGATAAAAGGTGTTCCGTTCCACCACCACTTTGATGTTGCTTCCATAAAAAACAATAACTCCGCTCACAAAGGCTCAAACTGTGCCAAATAAACTGACAGGATGGCGATCTGGAAAGCTACATATGTTAGCAGCCTCTAATGAGCCTCGACGAGTTTCCTCTTACGTATAACAATTAAAAGCGAGAACGGAGACCCATTTTTCACTGTCGTTTTCTTTTTATCATCGTCCTATGTTTTCGCCTCCTCCCCTGAAAAATAGGCTCCTCTTCAGTCATACGTTTGCTCCAATTACTTTGAGGTGGATGAAAGAGACTTGGCATATTGCACAGCAGTGGTGTGAGTTAGGGAGGGTTGTGCGTTGTGTTGGATGAGGGATGGCAGTGGAACATGGCTCTCTGACAGAGAAGACCAGCTCAGCACATAGCAGCCTTCTGTCGGCTGAAGTCCTGCTGCGCTGCTGATGTCTTGATTCATCTCCTCTGTTCAGGGAAGAGAAAGGCCTGTCTGCCTGCCTCTCACATACATTTGAATGAGTAATGATTACCTGCGCTCAACTGTGTGTGTGTGTGAGAGAGTCAGTGAGTTTGTGAATAATGTATAATATGGATCAGGAGATTTGGCGGGGTGTGCTCTTTGTTTGGTGGCGGACACAGCGGTGCAGGTGTGTCTCAGCGGGATTTGCACTCAACCAGCCACCCAGCCCGACTCCTGGAGTGCACAAAGAGAAACAATGCTCACTGCATGAATTTTACCCCCTCAGTCTGTTTCAAAAAATTAAATGGCATATACATAAAAAGTTTAGGGTCTTTAAGATGTTTTGAATGTTTTCGAAGTAAGTCATACGAAGTTATATGCTTACCAAAGTGGCATTTATTTAATCCAAACTACAGTAAAAACAGTAATATTGTAAATAAAAATTAAATGCCTTTACTGTCACTACTATGTAATATCATATATATGTATATATATATATATATACACACACAACATTTTTATTAAATATATTTATCTATTACACATATCCATGCAATCTGAACTGAAAAATATAATTATTATATTAATATTATAAATATATTTATATATCACTTTTTTCATTTAGTTATTTAGCAGATGCTTAACAAATAAACAAAAAAGCTATTTATAAGATATTATAGTCATAAGAGATAACAATATTGACATTCTTCTAAAATAATAATAATTATTATTATTTGTTTTGTTTCCCTAAACATGTCAACTACAAAACAATGATAAAAATTAGAAATGTAAATTAAATGTAAATGATTGCCATTTAATTATTGAATATATTGATATCTCTAATTTTATTTTATGAGCGCTAAATGGTCTAAATTCATTGTCAAAGGTATCCATTTATTATCTATACTGAGATACCAATGACCAAGACTGTGTTATTGATTCAACCCTATACAGTGATAATGAATGATTACCATATTCATGTACATTTATGTTTATATTGTACTCTAAGGTACTGTGCTTCAAAGAATGGTAGTACTCATTTAGAGGTCATTTATGACTTTATGACATTGTGTGTAATACAGTATAATAATCATTTGTTTAGCCCAGCATTGCTTTATTACGTGGTGGGTCCTTAACAATCACAATTATAGACTATGAGCATTAAGGAATACATATTTCTCTGTGTGCAATTATTGATTTATTTACTTGACACTTGTTCATTAAGTGACTGAAAATGCACCATTGAACATTATGAGGAGGGACCTAATTGGGAGAGTTAACAGAACAGTAAGCATGCTGTCACCTCACTGGGGAGGAATCCATTGTGCCGCTCCACATTTCAGGCACATTTCCAAGAGAAATTCAATTATGAGGACATCTCGCCTGCACCATATATTTAAATAAAAGCATAACTATAATCACACAACCGGCATTAATTGGGAAATAATTGCTGTGTCTTTGCACCTGTTCAATGCTAAATTGTGTGTGCTGTATTGGCACAATGACCCATCATATTTGTTTTATGCTGTCCTTCCTATATCGAAGCATCCTATCCTGTGTGGCATCAGGAAAAATCTAATTCACATTCATGTGTTCTAGTATTAAGAAAGACTAGATTTATCCAGATTACTATGCTGTTTTTCTGATGTTCCTATCTGCATATCCCTTGCCTGTCTTAAAAAAAAAAAGTCATTTGATTTGTTTTGTTATGTTCAATTACCAGCTCTGGCTGCTCCATTCAGCTCTGACTCTGTGCTCTCCAATTTAACATGTATGGAAATGTATCAGAGAATCAGGCACATAATCAACACACAAATTATGTGACAAAAGAAAAACACATGAGATCTCATCCTCTAAATGCAGCCAGTTCTTTCCCTCTTAAATCAGCTGAGATTGATTGTATTATGTTGTTGAGATATTACAATGCTTCAAAATTACTGTTGACAAATGTGATTTAACATCTCGCAATCGAAAATCAATCTAGTTTTATCAATCTAGTTTTCCTTTGAATCACAGCAAAAATACACAGACCACTAAAAATACACTGTGCATTTTTTTTATACTAATATCTAATAATCCTTATTTTTCAGGGTAGAAAAGGTTAATCAGCTGTTTTACTGTGTTCACATTTCAAGCTACAGCTAACATTTTTTGACCAAGATCCTCAAATATGATGAGACCCCCTTCTAAAAATAATTTAAAGCAAATCTTTTTAAATAGGTATCCATCTGTCCATTCTTCAAACTATTTGTCATATTGAATAAGTCATAGCAAGTTATACTGTGTGTGTGTATATGCATGTTACTATGACTGTAAATAGAATAATAAATAATATCAGTTAATATCATAATACTCATTTCCACCCAGTTTTTAAAAAGCAGAATGAAATAAACTAATTTCAAATTCTCACATTGACTTTGACAGCCCTAAAAATGTTTTGTAAAAAAAAAGAAGACACTTTTCCAGAGACTTTCCCCTGGTCTAAAACCACTGGTCTAATTAAATAGATGATTTAAAGATATGCTAATTATAAATAACTAAAATATCTAAATTAAAATATCATTTAGTTTTGATTTTGAAAGTTTACCTTCAGCAGTATATGTGTACTTACAGTGCTTATAGCATATGGGCGCTTAGTGTGGCATAATTTTATATATTCAAAGTTTTGATAACACACAAAATGTTCATTTCAGTTGTTGCCTTTTTTATGCTAAAAAAAGCCTATTCATATTTATCATCATTAAAAATAAAGCAGTGGTTGTGGCTTTGAGCAGAGAGGATCTGGTGTCCAGACTAAAGCGTTCTGATTTTGGGCTGAGATTAAAGACCTTGAATTGGCAGCCGGGTGGAAAGCGAGGAGTGTGGGTCTGAGGTCACAGCAGTGTGGGCGACCTGTACTGCCTCACTCTGACAGCATGGAGTGAAACAGGGCCAAAGCCCATCAGCTGTCAATCATCAGCTGTGATTTATGAGCGGTCATACTCAAACCATTAGCTCTGCCTCACCACTGGACAGCTCCAAAGGAAACAGAGGCCTACTGTGTTTGTATATGTTAGAATTAGAGGAAGCCGTTATGCTGAACCGTAGATTGGTCGTCTGTGGTTCTCTGTGATCAAGCGCTATTGCTGAATTTCTCTTGTTTGCTGATCTATGAGTTTTGGTCTTTTCCTGTTCAGTCACTTTTTGTATTTGATTTGTTCTTGGTTGGTGCTTTAATCAATGGTTTGTTGACAGGTAGTTGATGAAGACTTGGCAGGACTTCAGTGGGAATGTTTCTTTTTTCTTTTTCCTCCCCGAGTGTTGATGGCAGAGGGCTGAAGAGTTTGTATAAAGCAGTGATATGAAACCAGACATGTGGACCGTATCAACATTTTCCATATGCAGAAGTGTTCAGGAGTTATTAAAGACAGCCTAGCCAATGTCAGACTGAAAAAAAAACCCTGTTGTTCCTGCATATCAAGAGTTGCATAAGATTTTAAAAGGATGCTATTTCTAGCGTCTATAGGCACTTCTGAAAGTCGGAAAAACGTTTAAGAGTACAACTGCTGACTGAGAGGCTTCATGTTCATTCAAACTGAAATGTTTGAGCCAATTGGATTTTAAATGCAACACAAAAAATCTAATATTAAAATATGATAATTGATTAATTGCATGACATTGGCAAAAAAAAAATCAAATGCTATGGCAGAAATCATGCACTAACATTTGGTCAATACAATAATTTTGCTCTTTCTACTGATCATTTTAAAGTTGCCATGAAATGTACTCACTCTTTCTAAATAGATGTTATTGGTCCAATGATGTTTTTTATTTTTTAAATCAAAACTTGATCTTCTGGTAAAATGACAGACTTGTCTCTGCTGACGTATGGCAGACTTTTCCGATCATTTAGTCTGTTTAAACCCCGACTGCAAGCTTATGTTATTAACAAACAATGACTAGAACAAGTCCCCGTCCTACACTTTTGTTCTTTTCTAATAATCTGTTACACTTGGATGTATGTCACACAATACACCAGGAAGAAAAGATCTGATGCTACTTCCTTTTTCTGTCATCACCTCCCTAATGTCGCCATTTGACTTTTCTTCTGTGGAAAAAAAAAATTAATAAAAATGATCTGAACTGTTCTTTTCCATGCAATGATGATGCATGATGATCACTGGCTGTCAAGTTCGGTTGCATTTTTGTTTGATTAACAATTTGGTTGAGTCCACCTAGGACCCCAGTGGGTAGCTGTTTGTAATGTCTGATCAAACATAAACATTCAATTAAAAAAATTTATAGGGTACAGATTAAACTAGCAGTCTAATCAACTAAAGGTGTGGTCACATTTAACACCGTTCAGCTAATTTTTGCAAGTAAAATCCAGTCATTGCAGTTGGAATCCAAACAATGAGGAAAGTCTTGTAAGGGTAAAAGATTCCTTCAAGCAGATTCACAACAGGTTCAGTTTTTTCCACTGGAATTTGCACATTGACCAATAGCTGCTTGATTTGAAAGTGACTTCTGTGTGAGATACAATTCATACACATTTATACACAATTGACAACAGACATTGGACCTTTTTCGTAAATTTTAGTTGAAATTAATATGACAGCACCTTAACCGTATGCTAAAATAAAAAAACAACAACAAAGAATAATAAATATTTCCATTCACAATGTGGTCCACAGAAACAAGAAATTTAGACCGGTTTGGAACGACATGAAGGTAAATAATAATAAAATGAAGGTAAAAAAAAATATTATTATTATTCGTAAATAATGAATTTAAAAAAAGTAATATAATTTTTTGGTGAACTGCCGCTTAGTGATAAACATAAGTCAAATACCACCTTTCAAGCAGGAAAAATACATCTGAGACTAATTCATTGCCCTTTTCTTCTATACCCAGAGCACATTAGCCAATGTCCACAGTCAGTTCCTGCTAAATGTGGAGGCTCTGTCTGAGTTCTGGTCGGTGCTGGATGAGATAGATGAGCAGACATGGGTACTGGAACCAGAAAAACCCACAAAAGCAGACTCCATGAGAAGGATCGCCATTGGTAACATTACATTCATATTACTACATTTAAATCTCATTATTTGCAGATCACCCGCCATCCATCCAACTATGCCCATCCACAATCATTTCCTGTGATATTAAGCTGCCATATCGCTGTTCTTCCCCAGGAAACAATGTCTCAATAAAGGTACAAATTGACCCCAGACACCCCAAAATGCTGCCGGAGTGCTGTTTGCTCGGGGCTGAGCACGGTAGGCATTTTTCATATCTGCAAATCTCTCTGTTTATCTCCATACAGCTTTTATTACGGTTTCCTGCATGTGAGAGGCAGCTCGGATGTGAGAAACTCGTACCTCCCTCTCACGCTCTTGTTTTTCAATTACCTCCGTACATAAGTGCACATGCTGTAAATGCTTTACTGCATTTAGACAGGAGCGCTACAGCTGGAGCGGCCGAGCTGACAGCCAGCAATATGTTTGCGGCGCAATGTGCTTTTAGATTTCGAGTGAGATGGTGCTGGAATGGAGGTCAGTTTGCACTATTTAAGCAGCCGTGATTGTTTCTTTAAATCCAAGGTCATGCTTGGCTGACAATAGCACACAGAACACATTGTCAGTTGCCTAGCAATGTTATTCATTGATATTAAATCCACACTTCAGTAGTCAAGACGGTGGCAGTCGCGGACCCTCCGAGCGTGGGGTCAGACAGAAATATTGCTTTTTGCATTTACAAATGACAAACAGAGAGTGTGGCTATCACGTTCCTCCCAGATTGATCTCTCGGGTGGAACAGCCATGATGAGCGCGTTTTATTTGAATTATTTGAATATTTCCCTTTCTGTCAGACTGTTTGTCACAATGGGAAATGCCCTGTTCTTTTGCCCGCTCTACTGTGGCATTTCTTTGAGAGAATAGAGATTAGAGGTAAGAAATGACGCGGCTGTGCCTTGTCTGTCAGTGCTCTCCGATCAGGTGAGGAACGCTGAATGAGAGATGAGGTAGAGTTAATTGAAACTGCTCGGCTACATTAGAGGGGTGAGCGCCGTTCTTGCCTTCATATACAACACTCCCTCGGGCTTGTTTTTGCCATGCAGATTGATTGTTATGATTTATGTTGATGGCATTTTTGTCCCCCAGTGCTTTGCAAGCATTATGAAGTCCAGTGTGGATTGCTATTACAAAAAACATAAATAAGTGTGTATGTTTTAATACGATGTGACAGAACAGATAACAGCTTACTTAATTTAACAATTCTCAATAAAAGTTAAAGGTTAAATGTCCATACTTGTTATTTTATTAAATGGTAAATAAAAAAATGTGTTGACATATAGTTACATTTTTTAATAATTAGTTAATATTTAAATTAATGATTTAATTTAAATGAATATGGATTCATGTGGATATATTTGTAAACAATATACACAACCATTAAAAAAAAAATATATATATTAGACAAAAACACATTAAATTGATCAAAAGTGACAGTAAAGACATTTATAGAGTTAAAAAAAGAGTTCCATTTCAAATAAATGCTGTTCTTTTGAACTAAACTGCTCGGCTACATTAGAGGGGTGAGCGCCGTTCTTGCCTTCATATACAACACTCCCTCGGGCTTGTTTTTGCCATGCAGATTGATTGTTATGATTTATGTTGATGGCATTTTTGTCCCCCAGTGCTTTGCAAGCATTATGAAGTCCAGTGTGGATTGCTATTACAAAAAACATAAATAAGTGTGTATGTTTTAATACGATGTGACAGAACAGATAACAGCTTACTTAATTTAACAATTCTCAATAAAAGTTAAAGGTTAAATGTCCATACTTGTTATTTTATTAAATGGTAAATAAAAAAATGTGTTGACATATAGTTACATTTTTTAATAATTAGTTAATATTTAAATTAATTATTTAATTTAAATGAATATGGATTCATGTGGATATATTTGTAAACAATATACACAACCATTAAAAAAAAAATATATATATATATATATTAGACAAAAACACATTAAATTGATCAAAAGTGACAGTAAAGACATTTATAGAGTTAAAAAAAGAGTTCCATTTCAAATAAATGCTGTTCTTTTGAACTTTCTATTCAAATAACCTGAGGCAAAAATGTATAACAGACTGTTTTTAACATCAGTGATAATAAGAAATGTTTCTTGAGCACCAAATCAGCATATTAGAATGATTTCTGAAGGATCATGTGTCACTGGAGAAAGCTGAATCTGCTGAAGATTCAGCTTTGCCATCACAGGAATAAAATGCATTTTAAAATATATATTAAAATAAAGTAATATTATTTGACAATATTACTGTTTTGCTGTATTTTTGACCAAATAAAAGCAGTCTTGGTGAGCTTCTTTCATAAACATTAAAAAATCTTACCAAAAACGTTAAACATTGTTTATTAGTATTGTTTGCTAGTATCGACTTAATACTGAAGCAGCTGTACTTTTGACTTTTGTCACTATAATTCTGTAATTATAACTCTTGCTTTTGTCTTTCAGTTGTCACTCCTTTAAGGAATAAGTTGAATGCTAATATGCATTTATGGTAAGCAAATAATTATACATTTCTGTTTGATTCCAACTACTCTTTTTTTTCGAAGGAGGTTGAACAAGATTAACGAGGAATCAAAGTGGATGTTGCATATTTCAATGCAAATTTGCCATTTCATGTGCATGCCACACATATTGTTCAGTGGATATCTGTATTACAGTGTAAAATGAATCAGAAACCACATGGTGAGAATGTCTTGGCCCAGAATGTTGATTCTCAGTGATATCCTGTATTTTTTTGGGCAGTAATCACTGAGCTGTATTCATTATGCCATCATGACTTGACTGTATGCATTTCATTAGTGTATAAAGGTCCGATTTCCTTCTCTCCTCATAGGAACCCTGACTGCAGTGTCCTACAGAATATGAAGGATGTGTTGGAGATAGAATTTCCATCACCTACCACCCACGAAAAATCTGTACGTTGCATATTTTCATCTCATACACTGCCACTTACAATTAGTTCTACAGCACCATCACATTTGAAGCTTGCAGGGTTTTTTTCCCCCCTCCTTTTCTCTTTATGTTTTTATCATCGGGAGAGGTGGGTACGGATTTCCTTTAATTGGGTTGTTTACAGATAAGATCATTACAATAACAAAGGCGACAGAATCTTCAGCACTATCAAGAGCTGTTTAATCATAGCTCCGCCATTTATCTTTTTCTCCTTGTGTGCATTTTTTATGCTTTCTCTCTTTCAGCTCGCGGGTTGAAAGGGCGCAGTGTTTATTCACAGTCTGTACCGCAGATTAATGCTTGACCATCATTAACATTCTGAAGCGAGAAAAGTTTACTTGACCAGATGTTGAAATTTTTGTCTTCTATCCTTTTAATGGATTGCTCAGGGGAAAAAAAGCCTCTAATTATCTGAACAGCAATATGCAAACACGGACAGTGGAGGAGAAGAGAGCAGAAGCATGGGGGGGGGGTCAAGCATATATAGGGTTGATGAGTCCACCTGAGTCTCCTCACCCTGTGGGAACAAATATGAGCCACCGCGCACCAGCAGGGAGAGTGAATTTCAAATGCAGAATTTCAGATCAGACTCAGGGGTACAATATATGAAAGTGATGCTTTTCATTTAGTTTTAGTTTTTATATATATTATTTTCACCATTAACTCACAGTGATTATTTACTCACCATCATGTGATTCCAAACCTGTATGACTTTCTGAATGATTTCAGTGGAACACAACTGGAGAAATTTTGTTTCAATGTACAGTACTGGTCACTATTTACCAACCATGCAATGAATGGAGACTGGATTTAAATTAAGATTAAGATTAAGATTTAAAAAAAAAGTGGTCCATACTTCCTACGAAGAATTTTAAAACTTATTGTGAAGTACAAATCAAAATCATTGTTTACTGAAAATCAGTGCATTTATATATATATTTTTAGAGTTGCTGAATATTTTAATTGAATCAGTTGATCCAGTTCACAAAACCAGTCTGAATGATTCATTCACAAATTCAACTCACTGACTCAGTTGCCAAGGCAAGCTTTTCTAAATGTTCAATTTGCATCTTATATTTATACTTTATTTCAGCTTTATTTAAATTACAGAAATTTTCAGTTTTAATTAACATCAACTCTGCTTACTGGAAAGGAAGGTTATCGGTTTAAAAAAATAAAACTGTTTCTCACACAAAGCTATCTAGCGTCAAAAGACTTAGGATATATTTTATGAGTGGACCACTTTTATGATGCTGCTTTTATACACATCTTTTATGAAAATTAAAAGATTCTATCCCCATTCGTTTTAATGGCATATAAGAATAACTGGTAGATTTGTCAAAATTTCTCCTTTTGTGCTCCAAGGAAAAATTGAAAATCCTACAGATCTGAAACACAAAGGTGAGTAAATGATGACATAAATGTCATTACGGGATACACCAAGCTATCTTTTTCCTTCATTGAAAGCTTGTACATTTGAAAGCTTATCTCATTTTGTTGCTGTATACACAGAGTTTCAGTGTTGAATGTGGCATCTGCTACTCTTATCGACTTGAGTCAGCAATTCCAGATCAGGTCTGCAATGACCCGCGCTGTGGCCAGCCTTTCCATCAAGTGTGTCTTTATGAGGTAAGAGCTTCAGATTCAGCAATCAGAAACACTGACCCTCAGCCCATACAAAAATAAAGTTTAACAGTATTGTAAACAACAGAACAATTGTAGATTACCCTGCTGAGACCAGTATGCCATTTTCTAAAGTTTTTAATTTGGTATAGTATTTATTTCATCTTTTGAGTTATTTGTCTTCACAGTGGCTGAGAGGTCTGCCCACCAGTCGCCAAAGCTTCAGTATTGTGTTTGGAGAATGTCCTTACTGCAGCAAGGTAATAGTCAACTTGATCACAAAAACACAGCAAACACACAATTAAAAAATCACTTTATTTAAATCCACAAATACATGTATAGTGCAAAAATGGCTGACAAATAATTCATGCTAATTTCTACTTTTTTTTTTTTTTTTCAGCCCATCACTGTGAAAATGGTCACAGGAAACGCTTAACAAAATCTGTTCATTCAGAGTAGGGGTCAAGTGTCATTACGGCTCCAGTGAGGGTAATACCAACAACAGTCAGTACCATAACAACAAGGAAGATCAACATTCTTTTGATTGGCCATTTAGCCTGATTTTCTGATTTCCCAAAGCCATCTCCTTCTCTGTAATGGTACCGCGTCCATTCATCTTCCTGTCCACACACATCACTACCCCAGTGGTTTCCTTCATCGTCAGTTTCTTCCCACTGCTTTGGATTCCAGCTGTGTTTCCTGCTGTAGTTCCCCCAATAATCGACTTCACTGCTGACTTCTGCATGGTCGTCATTTAGTGTCAGAGTATGTGTTTGCTGGTTCTCGTAGTGACCGTTTTGTCTTCCCCTCATGGTCATCCAGGTCTTGCCCTCGTAAACATCTGCGTTCCTCTTTGCCTGTGTTGGTGGAGCACATGTTATGTTTTCAAAATATAAGAAATAGAAATGAGAGGGCTGGTATGTTGAATTTGTTAATAGACTTTTGTATAATATAATAAACACAGCAAAACATATTTGTATTTCCTGTGACTCTTGATGCTTTTAAAAAATTGATCAATTTGAAAAAGTAAATGATTGACTGTGCTCTATTTGGCATTTGGCCTGCACTCTGCTGCTGGTTTTACTTGTTCAAGTTCCTGTCTCTGCCGTGCTCCTGCTCTTGTTCTAGGATGAACTCGTGGAGGGAGGGGCTCATCTTCATCACTGATGTCCTCATCACTTTCATAAGGCCTAGGACTTTGCCTGATGCTTCCTTTAGCAGCCATGTCAGCTTTGTTTTGTTTCTATGAAGATGACACCAATTAATAATATCAATGAGAGTGTATTAAACCACTGCATGATAACACTATATATTAATTATGTATGCAAGAGCAACTTTCTATTTATCAAAAATACTGAGAAAAAAGTATCAGTTTCCACAAAAATATTAAAGGCATAGTTCACCCAAAAATTTTAATTCTGTCATTAATTACTCACACTCATTTTGTTCTAAACCAACAATTATTCTCTTCCCTGTCATCTTATTTTAATAATATTTACAATGTTGCTGTATTATTGATCAAATAAATGCAGTCTAGTTGAGCATAAGAGAATCAAAAACATTAAAAACCTTGCAGACCCCAAACACTATGAACGGTAGTGTAAATTTTCATGTATATTGTAAATACCCATTTATACTGTGACAAACGTAAGTTGATTCTTAAATTAAACAATTGGCTTTTAAGCCAATTTTATTCGGTTGTTTTTAGAATTATACCTGTTTGTGCGTCTCTCGTTTTGTCTTGCTCCAAACTGTGTTTGATGTTGACCCGCGCAACTCTTCCTCATCATCTTCCTCTGCCGTCACCACAGGCTTTGATCTTGCTGTTTTTTTCTCAGTAGTCCTGGGTTGGCTTGCAGCCTGTGGGAAGTTAAATTAAATGACAGGAATTTACTTGCTTTTGTCTCTGAGCATTCACAAGAGAGAGAAAGTGAGTATTCAGTGTTCCCTCCCTGACCTGGATCCTGAGAGGAGAGGACCTGCCCTGATTAATCACATCTACTGCTCTCCCTAATGTGGCAACTGTCCAAACTAAGTTTGGCCACAGATCACCAACGAGGTCAGCTGTAGGCAAAATAAACTCCAGGAGTGTTGGAGTGACACAAGGAGCCGTTGGCCTCACACTGCCTGACGTGGTTTCAGGAGAGCTGAGGCACGAGGGGGACATTGATGGTGTTGTTTTAGCTTTTATTCAAAGGAACTTCAGCTACATCTTCTAGAAGGAGATGAACAGAACCACAGAAAAATAGAACTACAAAGAAAAGAGGATTCAAATCTTAATGCCCTTGCTCTTGACACTGATGCTTTCCATCTGTGCAAAAGGTGGTCAAGGTCAGAGGAAAAAGACACTTCTGCACACTGCTTTATAAGAACTCTCCATTCATCTTTGAGAAAATTAACATTCAAATACATTGATACAGCAACCATCACCCAACTACCTGCGCACAAAACAGGAACATCTATGTATTCACTGAAGGAACAATCAAATCTTCTCAACTTTGAACTTGCAGTATAACCAATCCAGCCTGAGCAACATCATCACACACTGTCCTGTAGTCTAACCCCTATCAGGGAAACACATTTTTAGTCTAACACTTGTCTGGTGCATCTGGAAAGCTCCTACATCTAGGTCAGGAACCACATATTCAAGTTGGAAACAAAATACAGAAATAGTTGGGGGAAAAAACAACAACCAATGAATGACAACAACAGCTCATTGTTTATCTTGTATCACTGGGTAAAGATCAGGGTTGTGCAGAACTGTGAGTGCGGTCATGTTTACCATTGTCTGCCGAATTTTCTTGCGTGAAATCCATTTATTTCAATTGAAATCCAAGTGATCAGGAATTATGTGTGAGGACAGATTTTTTTACTGGGTTCAAGTTGGTCAAGGGATCAAAATAAAGCTTAACAACAGCTCATTGTTTATCTTGTATCACTGGGTAAAGATCAGGGTTGTGCAGAACTGTGAGTGCGGTCATGTTTACCGTTGTCTGCCGAATTTTCTTGCGTGAAATCCATTTATTTCAATTGAAATCCAAGTGATCAGGAATTATGTGTGAGGACAGATTTTTTTTACTGGGTTCAAGTTGGTCAAGGGATCAAAATAAAGCTGCTTGGTTTGAAAGTGACTTGTGTGAGCTTCATACATCGCTACAATATTGACTTCTTACCTTTTTTTTTTTCAAGTGAAATTCCACTTTAATTTCTTAGTTCATTCATGCCATGATATTTTTTATATTATTCAAATCATCATTTGATTTTTATGATCCATGATTTATTTATAAAACACTTGAAAATGCAAAGGTCAATCTAAAACTAGAACTGAGATATGTTCTTCAGGTGGTCCACAGTGTTACTGTGCAGAGTGGTTTCAATATCAGGGTACAAAGGAGAGTAAATGACACCCTAAACACTGAGGGTATTTACCAACCCTTCTCCAAATCCTCAACACTGAGCCTTCTCTATTGAACCACAGAATCAAACTGCTGGACAGCTCCACATAAAAGTGAGAGGCAATTCTAACTGGCAATCTTTTGGCCTCCGCAAAATGTGTGTATTCAACAGTCCCAAATTGGGTTGCTCGGGTGTTCGCAAAAGCTCAGCGTTTCAAGTTGGCAGTGATCAACTGTGAAGTGATTCCAGAGGAATTAAGGTCTCTCCACTCCAGACCTCTTGAGATCAAATAAGCCTTTTGGCAAGGTCAGCAAAGGTTAACCTATGACACCACGGTCAAGATCCACCAGCTTATTCCCCTTATAGAGGAAAAGTGCCATTCTTGTCTCTCATAATAGAGTGCAGGAATTCAATGTAGTGTATTTTAGGCAGTTCAATTCTGAATGCGCATACAGACATTGAAATACACTGCATGTGATTGCAATAAATAAAAGTGCTTTAATTAAATAGCTCTCTTGTACGTTTTTGACACTGCACTGAGCTGTGGCCCCAGGCTGAGGGCCTTTAGTAACTTTGAGTCTGTCACCACTGTGTAAATCATTTTTTTTCTGGTCCGCACCACTTCGGCCCAACTGCCACGCCGGCAATAGGCCAATCAGACGGCTCTAAGCAGAAGTGGGAGTCAGTGTAGCAGGGAACGGGTCAGAGGAAGGTTCCCAAACCTGAGCATCTCCTTCTCTCTCCCAGACAGATAAATCTGCCGCAGCCCACAGGCTGCTCTGAATGCTCCAGCCCCGGCTCATATGGTCTCTATTAAGACTACTGGGCTGATGTGCCAAAGCATCTCACACTCACCCTTTGTGTGGTTGGCGTGGCTGTCTCCAACAGTCTCGGCCTAGAGAGGTCCAATGGGCCTTGCGGCCCGGCCACTGACAGAATCTTCCTGAGGGCCTGGTAGTCTGGCTTTTCATTGTAGCCAAGGTTTTTCACATTGGACAGGTACCTGGCGATCTCTACAAGGGGTCAGAAAGAAGGACATCTGAATATGCAAAACCTAAAGGACTAGTTCACCCAAAAAATGAAAATTATGTCACCATTTACCCTCATGTCATTCCAGACTTTCTTTCTTCTATGGAACATATAGAACATATGAAACTTTCAGTTTTTGTTCGAACAATGAAAGTTGGGGTCAAAAACTTTCAAGTAGCATGAAATTAATCTAAACACCTCCATTTATTCAATTAATTTTATCAAAATTAAAGACTTTATTCACTTTTAAATCAAATCAAAACATTGACTGACATAAACAAATACAGACTACTGTACATTGAATATAGCAACACAAATCTCAAATGTCAAAACTCATTGGTTCTTGCATGTCACATGACCAAACATCATGACGTTCTTATCAACACATTTGATGTAGGCTGTGCATGCATGCATACAGGACAGAATTGGACTATGTCATTCATGTTGTATGGATTAATCTCACGCTACTTTTATGTGCTTTTTAGGGCTTGAAGATTTCGCCTTTCACAATATGGATAACAACAGCTGAAACATTCTTCAAAACATCATCCTTTGTGTTCTGCAGATCAGTCTTCTTTCTTGGTTGGACTATAACTTTAATACACTTTCATAAACAATCCTGAAAATCAGATGTTGAGCAGGACACATTGTATCCTAAATGTATCCTTTTATGAAAACTATAGAATTGAGACTACTGTGGAGGTGGACTGTGGTTCCATATTTGCATAATTCACAGATAAACCCCAACTGAGCTGGTCTGCATGTTTTATGTTGATGTATCCTGCAGTTGACCTAGATGCTTACCGAAAGCATGCACAAAAGTTTGGCCAAGTGACAACCTGCATCTGCAGACTTAATTTTCATTCCAAAGGGAACACAAACCACATCTTCCTAACAAATGGACGGTGACAGAAGCACAATGTAGAAGGGCCTCTCTGTTCATATGAGAACACAAATGTGTGTCTAATATGGGCACCTTCCATTCTTCACTGTAATAAATATGCTAGATGCAGTGCTACACCGGTGCGCATTCTCTTTGTGGCAGCCCAGCTGAATGTATACCACATGCGCAGCATTGATGCATGTTAGAGGTCTTATCTTTCTGGTCCAGCTGCAGCCAGCCTCTCAAGGTTGGGGGAATAAGGCCTCATCATAATCATAGATCACAAAGCCCCCTTTCAAAAGACGCACGTGCCCTCGCTCCCTGTGGAGGGGGGAAAGATACTGCAGGGACGCTAGGGCCTGTTGATGAAGGAGAGGCAAGGAGATTGCGCTTGTGGGGATGGCAAGGAAGCTAAGTCCCTGCCCCATATCTTGTTGATCAATGCAAATGGTCTGCACTCTCACGTGCACCTACCCTTGCTGGAGCCGGAGGTGGACATGTTCAGGACAGAATCTGGCAGGTTAGACATCAGCCTGTGGTCAAGTGATGATAAAGGGAAAGGTTAACCAGAGGTCCTGTTGCAAAATGTATCTGAAAACATATCTTTGCTTTCGACTCATGGAAATACACAACATATTTTTACATTTTTAGTATGAAGAACTATATTCTCTATTCTAAAGATCTGCAGAGTCTTATAATCCACAGCTTAAATTTCCAGACAAGAAATAAAATCTGTGGCCTTACACCTTTGGTGTAGTTTTTACGCTTTAAAGCAGTTGAGTGAATAATTCAGGCTGAGTAAGCACATAAAGCCTCTGATCAGCAGCCACTGTACACAACAGAGCACAAGGCCTAGACCTGTGGTGAAGATGGGAACGTACTTGGCCTTGGCCTCCTGGACCTCAGCTGGGTTCTTAAGAGATGAGAGCCAGGGCAGAGTTCCACACTGCCAGTGAAGCAAGCAGTAGCCCAACACCTCCAAGTCTCCTCGTCTGGATGGGGCTGTTGGAGAAAGTGAAAATAAGGAAAAGAAGTTGAGTGCCGGTTGAGAAGCAAGTTAAAACCCATTGATTGAATGACCCGTCCATTGGCTGCTGAAATATGCCCTTATAAAAAAGGAGGGGGGGGGGGGGGGATTGGGGGTTGATAGAGAGGAGTATTTTGTTTTCTCAGCTGGTGCCCTGGCGTGCCTCACAGGCTAATGGGGCTTTTCTAAGAGAGGCTGAGAGTTGAAAGAGTAGGTCAGTTTCCTCCCACCAGCGTTCCTCACATCTCTCTCACACTCCCACCTCCTTCGTCTGGTCTGGCGACTCGTCCAGGAACCTGATCCTGATGGCCTCTGACATGATCCAGACAGCCTGTGGCCCGGCCCAACACTCTCTCCGATGGAGAGCCAAGCAGTAAAACAAAGAAATAAATGTCTGGGCCCAAATAGTTTCCACATGTTTCTGGATTTCGTGGGGTCTCCGCTGGCCTTAAGAGAAGAGCCTGAGAGCGTGTGCATGTGCATGTGCTACCTAAACCTCCTCCAACTCCACCTCTGCTGTAGCACATTACACAACTGCCATCTAGTGTAAATGTCTTTTGTATACTAAAATCTTTTTACAAGGCCACTTCATCTTTTATGGTTCTCACATTTATTTAACATCCAGGAAAAAACTCTAGGTATCAATACAGATTTCTTAAATCGGTTTCTTTCTGATTCACAAACTCTTGATTTGACTTAGATTTTAATTTGTTTAAATTTGATTCCAACTCTTTTGGAAAGGATGCAGTCCTTACATATTCTTACATTTCTAATTCTGTAAATTATACCAAGGTTCAGACTGATTCAAATCACTAACTCATCTTCTTGGACTATTCATTACAAGAACCGACTCATAAGAGCCTGATGCTTCAATGGGGATTGAAACATTCAGTTAGGAATCGGGCAACACATCACACTGTATGTTTTTGTTTCACTGAAAAGAACCAGCTCATGAGAGTCATTAATTTAGGAATCAGACTACATGATTGTTGCTGTTTATATTTGATTTACTAAAGAGAAGCAGCTCACAAAAGAGTCAGACTACACTGGTCATATTGCATGTTGCCTGTGAGAACAACTCGATAAAATATTTTTTTCTTTTTTTAACCAGCACTACATTTTTTTATTACATTTGTCTGACAATGCTAAACAACTCTAGATTCTACGCAACTGTTCTTAACCTCAGGAGCAGAAGAGATTAGTACTTTTGGAATATGTACTTTTGGTCTTCAAATAAGCCCAAGAGAGCTGGTTTCACACTTGCATAAGCTCAATGGGAATCTATCCCAGTTCAGTTTTAACAACACCGCTCTAATGTTACAGCAAAAGCATTTGCTTATGAGCACTGGGCGTGAAATGGCTTCACTTAAACCGACTGCTTAGTCTTTCGCCAACCAGACAGACAGCAGCAGCATTTAGATATTAAACATAAATTTTGAATCCCAGCTATTAAACTAAAATACATTTTGGGTCAGACTGACCAATTACAGGTTGACTTTAAGCCAAGGACCCTCAATGAATTACATTCACCTAAATTTAAATCTGAATGGAACGGTTTTGTCAGTTCCGCTCATATACGAGAGTTAACCTCCCGTTAAGCATGTCCCTTCATGAAAAGCTCCAACTTCATCAATAAGGGTAAATTAAGGCACATCATTTGTTCGTGCCTAGAGAGTGTATTAACTCAATACTGTAACTGCAGTCCATCTCCTGAGAAATTACCCATTGACTGCATTCTTCAAAAGGGAAAATCTCTGCCTAAATCCATGGCCATCATTGATCCTGCCATGCCCATTACGGAGTCAGCCTCCCTGCCCGCTAGCCAGCAACACCATTAGGCCACGTATCTAGGTTTTCTTTATTTTTCTTCAACCTTGACCAAACTAATTTAGCAAACACACAATTTAATAGAAAAGATTTTAACATCCCTCACAGGTGACCTTGGGGGGGAAAAAGCCTCTTAAGTGGCATGTAAAAAGAGCACTATGACTAAAGACTAAAGTGCACAAGATAAGACATGCTCTATAAACATTTTGTCCGTCTCTGTAATAGGAGCCAAAGGGGTGGGCTGCCTGGCCTAGTCCTGACACCGATTCACTTATAAAAAAGGCTGAACCACAAGAATAATGTATTCCAGGCTGAGCACAACACCTTCCATCAGATAGAAGCTGTTGTTCATAATTACGGCCTATTGTTATTGTGATTATCCAAAGCGCCATGTCAAACTCTTGAACCTCTCCTTCTGAATTTCAGCCAGCTCATTTCAAACCTACAGGTGATAATTAGGCCTTTAGCATGGGGTTCAGCGGAACACAAAGTGCCCGTCTCTGCACTCCTCACCATGGTAACAAATCAACATCTACACGGTGTGCCAAGGGCCAAAAGAAAATTATCTACATTCATCTACAGGTCAGACCATGCAAATGACCTGCACAACAGCTGCCGACAGCCTACGTCAAGAAGGCTAGTGAGGTGACGTCGGCTCGGCCACAGTGTGTTTGATAGTGGCAGGAACAAGGTTTGTCAAATTTACAGCCTTGCTGCTTTGAGTTTAGCTTTAGGAGTGGATCAGAACACTGAACCCCTGAGTCGGTGCATCAGTGGGTAGGTGTTTTTATAAACTCTCAAGTGTTATATCACTTGCCATATGCAGTGTGATTTACACAGTACTACTGGCCATCCATTTACAGAGCAGTGAGACAGAATCAGGACCATATGTAGAATCCTGTACATGAAAAGTTAACAAATTGTATCAGGTAAGAACATGGTCTTGTCTGAAAGCAGCCAGACCTTCGTCTGAACCTGAGTATGATTTACTTTCTGATGTATCAAACAATGTGTTGTTCTGAGTACGCACTATGAGCTACGAGTCATGTACTTTTTCCCTTTTATATCACGAAACAGTAATAATACACCCAGGCATTCCCACTTATTCATCCTCCACTAATAAAACCAACTTAAAGGGGTGGTTCATTGCGATTTAACTTTTTTAACGTTAGTTAGTGTCTAATGTTGCTGTTTGAGCATAAACAATATCTGCAAAGTTACAAAGCTGAAAGTTCAATGCAAACGGAGATATCGTCTTTTAAAATTCTGGCAGTTTAATGCCTACAAAAACGGCTGGTAGGGACTACAACAAGTTACTTCCCGGGTTCGTGACGTCACAAACCCAGATAAACCTTGCCCCCGGGAAAAGGCAGCAAAGGGGACGAGGCCATGCTGCGCTGCTTTAGAGAAGAGGAAGAAAAAAACTAGGAGTGCACGTAAAAATCTATTCATATATGAATCGTGATTCTGTCTTCTAACGATTCTAATGGATTCACAAGTTTCAAAATCAATGTTCTCAAGCAGCAGTTCTTAATACTGTTCCTCTCGTCCCCCTGCGCACACGCTCTGCATCTCTCTCTCTCTCAGCTCACCTCCAACAATGAACGGTTACATTTATACACTTATTTTCACATAGTTATGAGAAGCGTTAAACACGCGTGCAGATGCCGTACTGTATTAAAGCTTTAATCAGGATAAAACCGTATATTAAAAGCTATCATAAGCAGTAGCATTTACAAATAACAGCGTATCTAAAAGTATGAGACAACAACAAACAAAAAACATAGGCCTACCATTAAAAGCCATGCTTGCACAGGTTCTGCACGATCCTCTTCAATAATATACTCTGCTTCTCAATTGGGCTCAAATTTACAATACAACCAGAGCACATGCCGCCGAAGTGAGGGGCGGGACGTTAAGACGCACGCTAGAGGCAGTTTAGCCAATCACAACACACTGGGCTAGCTAACCAATCAGAGCCCATCGCCTATTTCTGAGGGAGGGGCTTTATAAAAGAAGAAAATGATTAGCCCGTTTCTCAGAGAAGGGACAGAGCAGTGTGGAATAAAGGTAAATTATGTGAAAAATAATGAATTTTTAAAAAAATGAAGCGTTAACACATGTTAGACTGCACCCCATAAACACAATCAAGCCTAGAAAAAACCCAGTGAACCACCCCTTTAATAATGTAACAGTACTGTTAAAGAAAAATATGGAACTAACTTGTTTCAATCTACATCATAGCCTATTTTTTTTCTTGCCAGTGATTTTCTAACTTCTTGATACCATGAACCCCCAAATATGATATTGTCCTTAAAGGGATAGTTCACCCAAAAATGAAAATTTGATGTTTATCTGCTTACCCCCAGGGCATTCAAGATGTAAGTGACTTTGTTTCTTCAGTAGAACACAAAGAAGCCGATAACAGAAAAAATGAGCCGATATGGGCCGATACCGATATGGTGGCCGATATATCGTGCATCCCTATTTTTAACTCAAACTGTTGCAGTCTGTCAGTCACATAATGAAAGTGAATGGGAATTACTGCTTTGAGAGTCAAAAAAACATACACAAACAAAACCAAATTAAACTCTGCGGCTTGTGACGATACATTGATGTGTAAAGTTGAACAGTATTTATATCATTTTTTACGTTTTTTTTATGTCTGAACTGTCCTGAGCGCGTTCTCAACTGAGACCTGTTACCGCCACCTATCTCTCAAATGGACCATTGACACTATATCTACAATCTCAATTAGGAGTGTCAATGGTCCATGTAAGAGATAGGTGGCGGTAATGCACTTATAAGTCTGCGATCTGCCGTAAAGCAAGAAGAAGACGACGGCTGTTGAGAACACACTCAGGACAGTTCGGACATTGCGGTGAATCAGAGGTAAAAAACAATATAAATACTGTTCAGTTTCTTGCACAGATCGATCATTTCGTGTCTTTACACATCAATGTATCGTCACGAGCCGCAGGGTTTCATTTGTGTATGTTTTTTTGACTCTCAAAGCCGTGATTCCATTCACTTCCATTATATGACTGACAGACTGCAACGGTTTGAGTTAAAAACCTTCATTTGTGTTCTACTGAAGAAACAAAGTCACCTACATCTTGGATGCCCTGGGGGTAAGCAGATAAACATAAAATTTTCATTTTTGGGTGAACTATCCCTTTAAAAGGGATTTGCTTCCAAAAATATAAAGGCAGCTATATATTTTAAAGTATGTATCCCTATTGTTTTTAAAAGTGAGAAAAACAGGCATGCTACTTACAATAAATAAATAAGTCTAAAAAATGATATACTAAAGAAAATTACTGAAACTGTAATATCACCAAATTCAATAAATGTGTAAACTTAAAATAGTATTGTGTTAAACATATATATAATATAAGCATATACAGTGCTGCTTGAAAGTTTGTGAACCCTTTACAATTTTCTATATTTCTGCATAAATATGACCCAATTCATCATCAGATTTTCACACAAGTCCTGAAAGTAGACAAAGAGAACCCAATCAAACAAATGTGACAACAATATTTTCTTTGTCATTTATTTATTGAGAAAAACGACCCAGTGTTACATTTCTGTGCGATGCAAAAGTATGTGAAGCTCTATGATTAGCTGTTAATTTGAGGGTGAAATTAGAGTCCATCTGTTCAGAGGTGTTTTCAAACAGTTGGAATGATTATCAGGTGTCATTGCCTGCCCTGTTTTCTTTAGAGAACAGGGATCTAAGAAAGTTGGATCGTGTTTGCGGAAGTGAATCATGGCACGAACAAAGGAGATCTCTGAGGACCTCAGAAAAAGAGTTGTTGTTGCTAATCAGGCTGGAAAAAGGTTACAAAACTATCTCTAAAGAGTTTGGAACCCAGGGTAACTTCTAAGCAACTAAAGGCCTTTCTCACATTGGCTAATGTTAATGTTCATGAGTCCACCATCAGGAGAACACTGAGCAACCATGGTGTGCATGGCAGAGTTGCAAGGAGAAAGCCACTGATCTCCAAAAAGAAAATCACTGTCCGTCTGCAGCTTGCTAAAGATCATGTGGACAAGCCAGAGGACTATTGGA